TGACTTGTGTGAGTGTGTGTCTGTGTGTGTGTGTGTGTGTGTGTTTTACTGAGGATTGACCCTAGGGCTATTAAACTACATCCTCGGCCCTTTTAAATTTTTTTATTTTGAGGCAGGATCTCACTAAATCACTAATTTCCCCGGGCTGGGCTCAAACTTGCCAACCTCCTGCCTCAGTCTCCATATTACAGGCATGTACCACTACACATTTGCCTAGCATGTGTGAGGCCCTGGGTTTGATCTTCAACACTGAAAAGGGGTGGGGGTACTTCAACCAGGGCTGAAACGGCAGCACTCTGGAAGCTGAGGTAGGAGGATCATGAGTTTGAGGCCAGCTTGGGCAATTTAGCAAGACTCTGTCTCAAAAAGAAGTAAAAAATTAAAAGAATTGTGACAAACAGAGCAAGAATGAGACTACCTTGGGCCAAGGATTTAGCTCAGTGGCACTGCACCTGCCTGGCAAGCGCAAGGTCCTGAGTTCAATTCCCAGTACCAAAAAAAAGAGACCACCTGAGTAGGCTTGTGTAAAGGCAACTTGGCATAGGGTTTATTCTGCCTGGATGCAGGCCGACCAAGAGCAACAAAGTATTGGCCCTGAAACAAAGAAAAGCAGAGTTTTATAGGATCTGGAAGGGGGGCAGACACGTAGAAGGGTCAGGGCAAACACCTGTGGCTGAAGTTCTCAGAATGGCCAAGGCAGATGTATAGAAGTTATCAGACACTCTAGCACTAAGGTAGTCTCATGCTCTGTTTCATTCAGTCTTTATGACTTCCTGTCCTGTTTGTCCAGAAGCAGCACGACCCGTTTGTGGGTTCTCACCATTTACTGAAGAGGCCTGTTTGCTGGAGATTGCAGTTGCTGAAAACATAAGGTTTACTGGGAGGGTCATGCCTGGGTCTAGCCTACCAAGAATTACTTATAGATTGGTAATATCTACCCCTGCTGGTGTATGTTATAAATATTTTCTCCCTGTTTTTCAGTTGTTTTGAATCTTTATGTCAAAAAATTTGTGCCATGCAAAATTTTTTATTTTTATGTTGTTAAATTTATCAGTCTTTTCCTGGTTCTGGATTCTGAATCATATTTAGAAAGTCTTCCCCAACATCATAGTTAAAGAAAAATTTATCCATTGTTTCTTCCAATCCTTGTCTGGTGCTATGAATTGAATATCTCCTCCCAGGTTAAGGCAGTTTGAGGCTAGCCTGGGCTAACAAACAAACAAACAAGTTGCATCTATACTGAAAGACTTTTTTCTTGCTATTATCCTCTAAACAATACATAGTATAACAACTATTAACATGGCAATTACATTGTATCAGGTATTATAAGTGATCTAGAGAGGATGTAAAGTATAGGGGGACTACTACACCATTTTACATAAGGGAGTTGAACATCACTAGATTTTGGTATCTAAGGGGGTCCTGGAACTAATACCCTGTGTGGATACCCAGGGACAACTGGATTTGAAGGTGAGGCCTTTGGCGGGTAACTAGGTGATGAGAGTGGGATTAGTGCCCCTATTAGGAGAGGCCAGAGAGCTTCTTTGCTCTCTTTCAGCCATGTGAGGGTTTAAGACAAAACCAGCACTCTACAATCCTGGAAGGTGGCTCTCACCAGAACTGAACCTTGCTGGTAACCTGACCTGAGATTTCCAGCTTCCAGAAATGGGAGAAATAAATTTCTATTACTTACAAGTCACCCAGTTTACACTATTTTGTTATGGCAGCTTGAGCTAAAATACATGGAGTGTTTGTTTGTACTTAGATTCTTAATCCATATAGAGTTTCTTCTTCTGTTGGGTGTAACATATGGTCCCGTTTTTTCCCCAGTACTCGGGACCTTTGTGCTGAGCTACATACAATCTCAACCCTATTTAAAGTTTTATTTTTTTAAATTTTGAGACAAGGTCTTGCTAAGTAACTAAATTACCCAGGGTGGTTTTCAGTGATCCTCCTGCCTCAGCCTCCTGAGTAGTTGGAATTATAGGTATGTGCCACCACATCTGGCTCTGGTTAGTTTTTTACTTTTTTCCCCCTGTGCTGGGACCTTGCACATGCTAAGGAAGCATCCCACTACCTGAGCCACATCCCCAGCTCTGGATGGCTTTTTAATATGAATGACAGTAATGAAATACAAGTAGTGTTTCAGAAAAGGGAATTTTGAGCAACTCAAAGGTTATTGTTTTTTTGTCCTGCACAATCTCCCCCCCCCCTTTTTTTTGGCACCTGGAGATCGAACTCAGGACCTTGCCCTTGCGAGGCAGGCACTGTGCCACTGAGCTAAATCCCCCACCCCTGCACAAACCCTTTTGCATGACATCTACTCTGTCCTTTCCCCGCCACTAGGGGGCACTAGCAACCACTCCCAAGTGGAAGTTCTATGTGACTGCCTGGGCCATTCCCCTTCCAACAGAGAATATTCTGTCTTCAGGCACTGGTAGGCTGAGAGGTATAGAGTCTTACAGAGCCAAAAGGAAAGGTCTGGATCTGCTCTGGATGATAACAGATTCTCCCAAGTAGAGGGAAAGGGCTGTCCTGAGAGGAAATGAATTCCCAGCAAGCAGCCTGCAGAGGTGACCTTTCCTTGGAGGCCAGGGGAATAGGAGAAGGAAGGAACACAAGAGTGGATGGAGTCCAGGTAGCTCTGGATCCAGTTCTGCAGTTTACTAATTGTGTGACCTGGGGCATCTCCCTGAGACTCAGTTCTGTCATCAGTAAAATGGGGCTAATAAAGGCTTCTCACTGAGTGGTTGATTAAATGGAAAAGCATCTACACATCAGGCCCTTTAATGGCACCATTAGATGACTAAACTTTTAAAACTAACCAGTAGGGTCCTGGGGCCAGAGCACCATCAGGCCCCACACTTTCCTCAAACTTGTTGGGCAGCCCTGGCTTTTTCTGACACCTTCCTTCCCTCAAAAGCAAACTCCACTCACACACCAGGCTGAGTGCCCAGGATAGGTCACTGTCTCTCTAGGACTCTGGCTTCAACATTCTGAACTGAAAGCTGCCAGAGATGGGCTGTGAGGTGGGTAGTCCTAACATCACAGGATGCCATGTCAACCTGTCCATGTTTCTGGGGAGCAGTGTCTTTACACCATGAGGAGTTTGAGCCAGACTGAAACATCCAGGGGCCCAGGTAAGGGCTCACTGGGGATCAATCCAGCCAGTCCCCACAACTGCAGGTATGGGTGATAATATGCTGGTCCAACAGCAGGTTTGGGGCCCTTTTCAAGGTTCACCAGTTAATGAGTTGAGGCAGAGTACAAGCAACCACCACACAATACTGCTCTCGTGACTCCAAGGCTCTGAGATACAAAAGAAGGCCTGAGCATCCCTTGTTTTGTGTGCAGAGGCAGACTAACCTGGCTTTCTCAGCTCTGACCCCAGCTGCACACTGGAATTTGGAGGAGTTTCCCAGCTCAGAGGCCATGCTGCCATCTACCCTGTGATGAGGCCTGTATTGAACACACGACCTCCTTTTAACTGGTCATCACCTACTTCTGAAAAAACCCATTTAGCAGACCAGGAAAATGAGGCTGGGAGAGGACACAGAGCTTGTTTAGATCACACAGCAAGTAATTGGCTGAGAGAAGGCTGGGGCCCAGATCTACTTAGATTGACCATGCACTACTGTGTCCCTGAGAATAGGCTCAGCCTTGCCCTTCAGGAGCCTTGCCTGGCTGGGGAAACTGAGACCTGGACAGAGATAGCAGGCTTGGAGGGCCATGGGGAGGATGGGGGGGCTGAAGGGTGGCAACGTGGAGAAGTTGGCATGGCGGGGTGGGGCAGGACTGAGCCATGTGTGAACAGGGGGAAGAGCCTTTCATCGTAAACATGGTTTGGGGGTGCAGAGAGCAGAGCCCCTGAGATAGCATCCAGGCAGCTGAAAGAGGCCAGAGGAAACAGGGAGGGGGCCAGGTGCAGTCTCAGAACACTGTTCTCGGGTGGTAAATCGAGGCCTTATCTGTGAAAGTGCTTCTTGGCTGGATAGGTGGCTCTTGGCAGGAATGGAGGGGAGTGGAAATAGGGAGGGAGTTACACTTAGGGGACACTTAGGCAGCCAGAGATGGGGGGGTGAGAAGGTAGAGGCAGAGGTAGGAGAAGTCTGGGTGACTGAAAGGTTAATGAAATCATTAACTAAGACTAGGAAACTGGGTGGGAGGGGAGAGAGATTGACTGTCTCCTCCTGCAAAGTGGGCAGAGGGCAGCCTGCATGATCAGGTGAGTAATCATAGGCCCTGTTGCCTCCGAGATGCAGACAGGACGCTTGCCCCAGGTCTACTGTGCGCCAACTTCGTCAGCCATGACCCTTCTCTATCAATTCCCCCAAATAGCTCTGCGTGGGTGGGGATTACAGTTCCCATTTTATACATTAAGAAATCGAGGTTTCCTGCCTTCCAGGGCACTCTGGGAGCCAGTCACAGGAGGAAGCCCAGGCTCCTGGCCCCTTCTGCGGCCCTCTAGTCGTGCATGGCACGGCTAAGTGCTCAAGACAGGTGAGGGAAGCCAGCTTTCCTCACCTGACAACGCCCACTCTGAGTCTCACCAGGTGGGCCTGAGTTTCTGTTACTCCACCCAAAAACTTGGGGGTGGATGAGAGGATAGAGACGCGCAAGGTGCTCCCTTCATGAAGTCCTTCTTTTCGCGGCCACCCTGCCTTGGCTCTTGGGGACTCCCGGTACAAGACCCACTCCCAAAGTCACCCAGCTTCCTCCATAAGCCCTCCGCCGCCGGGCTTGCAGGTCCGCCCGGGTCCGATCCCGTGCTGTGCAGCCAGCCCTCGCGTGGCTGCCGGTCCGGACTCGGCCCTGGAGGTTTTCCGGGGATGCTCGGCCGCTGGTGACTGAGCGGGGAAGGGAGGAGAGAGAAGAGCGTGCAGGCACAGCTCTGCCAGAGGCAACAACTCCAAGGATGCCTCCCAGGAGCGCCAGCCCCACCGTGCGGAGCCACCTCGCATGCGCGCAGCCCTGCCCGCTCCCGAGACCACGCCCCTGACTGCTAATGGGCGTAGGCTGTGGGACGGGGCCGGAACGGTAGAATCCCGGGAGCCCGAGCTCCATCCCCCGCCCAGGGCCTCCCGGGCTGCCTCTCTGGCCAGCGTTGGCGGTCACTGAGCGCACCGGTCCAGCCGCAGCTCCAGTGCCCGAGCGGTGCCTGCGTCCCCGGACCTCGTCTCGAGCCGCGGCGGCGCGCCAGGTAGGAGGCGCTGTGCCGAGGGAGGCGTGTGCGAGAGCGCGTGCTTGTGCTTCAGGGGTGTGAGTGCAGGTGCAGCGCCGGCCAGTGCCGCCTCCTGAGTGCGACCGGAGTAGGGGGCTGCACATCCCGCGGGCTGGGAGAGGGAGGTAAGCGCTGGCCCGAGGCCTGGGGGGCGGGGGCCTTGAGGATCGGTCCCAGGCCCCAGGGCTCAACCCCACCATCCCCTCACCCCATGGCGAAGAGCCTTCTCCGCCCACCCCTGGGTGTTCCGGAGTTCTTTTCCTAAAGCTGCGGGGGCCCGCTTGGCAACTGGACCGTTTTTTCCTCTTCTTCCCGTTAAGTCCCTCTTCCTGTTAACCCCTCTGCAGTTCGGTCCCCTGCCCCTTCTGGGTGCCACCCCCTACACCCTTCTTGGGGAAGGGGGAAAGGCCAAGGCCCTGGCTGTCCGAGCCCTATCCCCCACTTCACCCTCCTCCCCTGGCTGAATGAGGGCCCCCCTCCATGGCGGCAGCGCCGGGTGTGTGGTATTGGGGGCGGGGCGGGATGGGGCAGTATCTGGGAGAGATTGGCTCTTCTCTGATGCTCTCCAGGTCTCACCTGCACCCCTCGTGCTGGGGATCGGGGAGATCCGCCTAGGGGACCAGAGATGAAGTAGGGCAGATCACTAACAGGTGCCAAGGGCTCCCCTGGCTGCGCTTAGTGTGGTGGGGGATTCAGCCCCAGACTGCACCTAGATAAGAGAGTGGGCCACTGTGGGGTGAAGTGAGCCACCCTCCCAGGACTTCAGAGCCAGAATTGGAACCCTTCCAGGTGCCAGCACTGGAAAGACAAGTGCTGAGGGCCACTAAGTGCAGTGTGAGGCCTCTGCCCCGCAAGGGTTGAGACCTCCCATAGTCCTTGGACTCCTCACCCAGAATCCTGGGGTGGAGGCTGGGAGCAACTGCGTGGGGCAGGGTGGGGCAGAGTGGGGCAGGGTGGGGCAGAGTGGGGCAGGGTGGGGCAGAGTGGGGCAGGGTGGGCCCAGCTGCTGCTGCCCCAGGCCAGGCCAGACCTGGGTGCCACACTAAGAAGGCTACCCTGAGGAGCCTCTCTCCTGAGGGAGACCCTGATGGGACAACAGATAAGGGCCCACCCAGAGGCCCCAGGGAATTAGGCAGGGATCCATCCTTGCTTGGGAACTGGGGACCAGCCCACTTGCAAAGTCGTCAGAGCTGGGTCTGGAAGGAGTTCATTGAAGGCAAGAAAAGGGTGCAACATTGCAGGCTAGGGCCCAATACAAGCAAAGGCTCAGAAGTGTGAGGCTGAGGGCTAGCTGGATGGGTCAGGATTACATAGTCTGGCGTGTGTCTGACAAGGACCATCTTTGACTATGATGGTGGTGGTGATGGTGGTTGGGCTGCTGTCCAGGCCAGTGAGCAGGAGACCACAGCAGGGAGAGACTCCTTGTCCCCTCTTCTCTGTACCCCACCCAGGCCTAGGCTTGGCAGGAGAGGAGGGGACTTGATATAGGCCCCTAGAGCAGGAGGAGAGGTGCCGTGGGGTTCACAGGGCCCCAGTATTGGAGAAGGATGGGTAGGATGCTCTCTGAGATGGGTCCACTTGGGGTGGACAGATCTGGGGGAATCAATGAGGTCAGGGTTGGACCCAATGTTGTAAGAGGTGGGAGAGGGCATTGAGAACTCTGCTCTGAGGCCAGTACTGTCTCTGGCTGCATCTGCCTCTGCTTTCCCTGCAGGTTCTCAGGATAGCCCTGAGCCCTTGTCCCCAAACAAGAGCCCCCAGGATCTCCTGGAGGATACAGGGAGGCAATTTCCACCGTCTTTCTACCTGTAGGACCTGTCTTCTTCCTGAGTCCTGACCTTACCCTCCTGCCTGCCCTCCACCTTAAGGCAGAGTGCTTCTCTTGTCTCAGCTTCTCTGTGTGTTCACTGGGGATAAAAGCTGCCTGACTTGGGGGATGATGATGAAGTTAGGTCAACTTACCTGCCCAGCACTGTCAGGTGTGCCCAGGGATGTGGACAAAGGCTGAGAGCCTGCTGACCCAATCTGCCTGTCCCTGCTCAGCCGGCCCCTGCCGCAGTGACCCCCACTGCTGGGTAACCTCCCCATTTGGTGAGGTGGGATAGTAGTAAGTAAGACACTGAAGTTCAGGGCAACTTTGTTGTCTATGGGAGCAATTCAAGGTGTAAGAACTTCCTCCTCAGGCTGGCTTCCCTGAGTAGGAGGGGTGGGGCTCCTTTACCCACCACTCACTGCTCTTCAAGAGCAGTATTTTGAGCTAGGCTTTGGTGGCACACTCCTATAATTCTTACACTCAGAAGGCCGAAGCAGGAGGATTAGGAGTTTGAGGCCAGCCTGGCAGAAGGCCAGACCTATCTCAAAGAAACAAAGAACAATATTTCTTACTTTTTGTTGCTATAACCAAAGACCAGAAAGTTGCTGCTTTAAAACAACATAGATTTATTCTCTTAAGAGTTTTTGAGGTCAGGAGTCCACCATGAGCCTTATGGGGCTGAAATCTAGGCTGGTTTCTTCTAGAGGCTCCAGGGAGAATCCATTCTTTGTCTCTTTCAGCTCTGGTGGCTGTTGGCATTCTTGTGACCACTTCACCCCACTCTCTACTCCTTTAACACTGCTTTCTTCTCTTCCTTGGTCAAATTTCCCTCTGCCTTCCCTTCCTTGGGGATTGAACTCAGGGCCTTGTTAAGCACGTACCCTACTGCTGAGACAGACAGACAGACAGACAGAACATACATACACACCATCATCATGCCTCCCTCTTATAAGGATAATTGTGATTACATTTAGGGCCCATCCAGATAAGCCAGGATAATTTCCCCATTTTAAGATCCTCAGTCACATCTGCAAGTCCTTAGTGCCATATAAGGCAACATTCACAGGCTCCAGAGATTTAGATGTGGGTATCTTTGGGGGCCATTATTCAGCCCAACACAGGAGCCGATTGTGGTGTCATTTCAGGCACCATGCCCAGTCCTCCATCCCCTCCCTTCAATCCTGGATGCCCATAGCTGCTGGCTTCCGTGAGCCACAGTCGTGGTTCCCTGTGAGGTCATTCTCAGTGTCTGGGTGTATCTCCCCCACCCCCTCAGCCTGAGAAGCTTGCAGGCAGGGCCTGGGGCTGCTGCAGCACTGGCCCTGAAGCCCAGCCTAAGCCATGGTGGCCAGAGCTCAGGGGTGTTTGGGAGAAGGGGCGTGCTGGTGTGTGACCATAGGTTGCCCGGTGACTGGATCCCAACCTGCATTTGATAGTGTGCTAGGCCTTTCAGGGCGAAATACGACTCATTTTGGACATTTCTTCAGTAATGGCAGTACCAACTGGGGACACTGGATCCTTACCATCACCTGACAGGATACAGATGAGAGTACCAAAGTTCATTGAGGCCAAGTCTTGCTTGGAGCAGAGGGGAGGGGAGGGCAGTGAGGGGAGGATGTTAGGCCAGTGGAGGGGAAGGACCTTCATGTCATAGGTGAGAAGCCAGAGGCACAGAGAAGTTAACCACCTTATCTCTCCCAGGGCCTCACTCTGCCCATCTGAGGATTGGTATGTGGAAAGGGCATCTCTGGCCCAGCCAGCCCTTCTGAGCTTTGACATTCAAGGCTACTGTGGGCAGGAGCAGAACATGGCTTGGAGCAGTGCAGGGGACCTGGAAGTGCTGCCAGCATACTGCTCACCTTGAGACAGGGTCTGCCATCCTGGGAGGTGGTGAGTCTCCAAGGAGGGACCTCAGCCAGTGGCTGAGACCTGCGTGCCATGGGCCCACCCCAGCGTGGGTCTCTGTTGGACCCTGCTTCTATCAGGCTGTTTCTGCAGCCTAGTCTCGCTTCCTGTGTCAGCCTGGGCTCTGGGCCTCCTTTCCTTTCAAGCGTCTTGTGAATTGTCACACACTGTCATACTCCCGAGTTCTTAGTCTGGCTTTCAGGATCCACCACAACCTGCCCGTGACAATAGTTCTGTGCTAGTCCCTCCTTCCTCTTCCTTCTCCCCTGCGTCTAATCCTCTAGCCAAATGGTGTTTTTCCCCCAAAACCTTCCACCTTGATCTTTAAAAATTGCACTCCACCCCTTGGGGGCCTGCTCAAATGCCACCTCCTCTATGTAGCCTTCCTGGCCCTGTCTGAATGATCCCCTCCCACTTAGAGCAGGTACTCTGCTTTCAGAGGTCTCCCTTTCCCACAAGACTGACCTCTAGGGCACAGCCTGCCTGACTCCTCCCTGTCTCTTAGCCAAGCAAAGAGTAGGTCCAGGTGCCAGGCATGGGGGGAGGGACACTGGAAGGACACATAGGGGCTGGTGAGGGCATCTCTGTCTTTGCCTAAGAAAGGGGTGGGGGCCAGGGATTTAGCTCAGTGGTTCCAACACCTTCCTCGAAAGTGCAAGGTCCCGAGTTCGATCTCCAGTACCCAA